TTTCAGGTAAGTGGGAAACAGAACCAATGGGCAAATGCTTCTCCTTACCCAGTCTCCCCTTATCTCTGTAATGAAAGGTCTAAAAATATATTTCCTACCATTTCTCAGACATCCTGAAACACATTGCCTTTGATTTTTCAGAATCCTGGTGAGATTAAGCAACCAACCACCTAAAAAATGTGACCATCTCTCAATAAGGTATCTTAGAATTGGCTCTTGCTCCTTCCCAGCTTCATTCTCCCTGTCACTGTGACTCCCTCCTTAGAAAGCACTATCACCAAAGGCCTGTCACAATCTCTATGCAACGTGGGCCAGGGCAGACAATAACTAATATGTTTTCAAGCACCCATACCTAGATTTACCTTCTCACTTTCTTAAATTCATCTTGAAGTTCAGCTTGTTAATGTGTGTCAGAGATACATGTACAGGAATGTGAGCCTGCTGTATTCCTTGTAATAGGCAGAGAGAGTCATAATATGCATTAGGGTTCTCTAGAGGAAGAGATATAAAGTATATGCATAATTGTATAAATGTATTAACCACGTAAGTCTATCAGAAGTGGCGTAAATACAATGTCCATTTGGAGACTCAGACATGGAAGAATCCAAAGTGGTTCTCTGTACATTAGAGAGTCAGAGAGTTTAGGAGCAGTCAAAGGCTGTAAGTCTGCCTGGTAGAGCTAACAATGTGTCGGAAAGCTGAAGTCTGCAACAGAAGGCTGAAGAAACTGCAGGCCAGCATCTAAAACCAACAGTGAAGGTCAGAACTTCTTGAGAAAAAGAAACACTTTCTTCTTTCCCTTTAAATTCCATGCAAGCATATTGGTTGCTGCCACCCACTTCTGGGGAAGGCAGTGTTCCCATCTTAGTTTTCTGGACATGTCAATCATCCACAAACTTGCAAAGAACTGTCTTTATCTGTTAGGTGGTTTTTACTCAAGCCAAGTTGGTATATCACACTTAATGATCATAATCCACCTCTTCTCAGTTTGAAAACCAGGCAAATCTCCTTAAGCTGTACTTACTATTCAAATAGCAAGCTCTTAATTATACCTGGCATGATACAACTATCCTGCATACAAATGGAAATGCACTATTGTCTTCCAAGAAGAGAAAGAAATTTTTTTCCTTGAGTGATACTTACTCTACTGACATTCTATAACTTAAATATTATAATTCAGGTTTAACAATACATAAGTACTGATGGTAAGTCATTCAATATTATATTGCAAAGTAAGAAAACAAAAATACCTGTTTAATATGTGTGTATATACACAAGCATACTAAGAAAATAGGAAAGAAACACAACAATTAAAATCTATTTTGCTATAGCTAGTCATGTGGTTTTAAGGGGCATTTATAATTAATGATCACTAACTGTATTATAGTATTTAATAAAAAAAGAAGTTATGGAGGGGAGGAAGATATACTGTATATTGTATGGACATGGAAAAGAAAGTACACAAGAAATTCCAAAGGTTAACAATGGATATCCTGTAGAATATACAACAGTTATGTTAGTATTATGCTGATGTACATATATACCTTGGATTATAGCTTTTTTCTGCAAGTGTTCAGAAGGACAAGCAAATATTTCCCATAAATTTTAACTTGACAAATGAGCAATGTCTTGTAATGAGTAATACATGATGCCAAACATCACATGATCGCAGATCCCACAGATCGTGGGTGATTATCTGCCAACAGGAAGAGATTATGGAGATCTCCTCTGCAGAGGAGGAGAAGAAAAAGACAGGAATTTCTCACTTGAAATGAGATTTCAAGGACATGTAAAATGTGGGAAACTGCAAAATTTTGTAGAATACCACCTGAACAGTGTGAGTAATGAATCATTTAACGACAACAGAATCTCACATTTCCACAAAATTCTCAAAAAGAGGCAAAAGCAATGCTATTGGATAGATTCGTTGGTAAAGTTGCATGAAGAGAAGATCCCACTGAGCAAATGGATAGTGATTCCATTAATGATAGCAAAACTTATCCTACATCACTACCTTCCTTTCTTTTGCCTCCCTCATACCAGCCATGAAAGTTTTCAAAGGTAAGAGCAGATTAATTTATATTTTGGTGTATTTTGTATTTTCTTTATAATTTTTTATTGTATTACAGTATTATAATCATTTTTATATGAATATTTTTGGGTTGTGTGATGAATAATCTGATTTTCCATTATTTCTTATGGGGAAATCAGCTTTGATATACAAGTGCTTTAGATTAGAAGTGTATTTCCAAAACAAACACTGCTTGTTAACCAATACATCTATCTATCTATCTATCTATCTATCTATCTATCTATCTATCTATCTCTATACACACACACACTATATATATATATATAGATAGATAGTTATACAACTAGTTTTTCTAGTTCATTTATTTGTCTAAACATTATTTCATGTCTGTATATTGTACTCTGAGTAACTACTATGGAAAAAACTACATCGTGTTTTAATTATTGTTATTAATTATTGTTACACTCACGCTAGCTTGATTTGAAAATGTTTTATTTTATTTCTATTTTTCATCTTCGCTTAAAAAAGCATATATATATATATATATAGTGTGTGTGTGTGTGTGTGTGTGTATCAGAAAAAAGAGTTTTTGGAAGGAAAATCAGATTCCAGTATTTTTAATGTTATCAAAGAGAGAAGTGATCTGTTAGAGGTATATAGTTGTAGACAGGAACTTGAGCTCAGGTTTCTTGATTCCTATTTCACTCTTCTTTCCATTAAATGGCAATCAGATAAAGTAATTAGGTTACAGAATAGACTGATATTGTGTATTTGATACTTCCTCCAAGCAATACAATTCCTTAATCTACTTCAAAGGGATACATTTTCAAAGGGAAACTGAAGAAGCAAATCTCATGAGACAGTATCATTTAGGAAATACGTATTGGGAAACAAGGTCTTCTGCTACTGCGTAAGTCAAATCTCATGTGAATCCAGCTGGACCATGTACATGGCACTTTCAGTTCTACAAAGAAAACTGTTATCAATGTGCAGTAACCATCACACAAGGGCCAAGTGATGGCAGATGCTTTGATCTGACATTGCAGAATTTCCTTTCAGCTAATAGCCTTGAAAAACTTGTTATAATTGCCTGAACAGACCTAACATTAAGGTACACGTACCTTAATGTTCAAATGCATATAATTCAAGAGGATCTCAATAAGGTTCCTTCTGATCATTTTTTCTTTGATTTGATAACCTTTCTTGATGCAATTTATTTTATGTTTTCCCCTTTTGAGTAATGTCTTTCTAACCATTCATGTTATAATCGATACTGGCACTCACTGATGGTGCATGACAGAAAAGAACTTCAAGAAAATTGCGCATTACTCTGATCCAGCCTAGGGCACACAAATCATAGCTTTCACTGTAGCGGAGACAGTGAAATTGAAAGTAACTATACTTTGTATGGAAATTAGCTGCTTTTAGAATGCACTATAGTTAAGTATATATCAAACCAAAGATAACAAACATATGAAAATATTTTCCTTTTAGAATGTGCCCTCTCCCTTCTCCATATATGTAACAATTCTCAGTGTACTGTGTTTTGGCAAAAATTTAAAAATTTGTGTTCTTTTTTTATTTTAAAGAGATCAAGACAAAAGAGGACAGAACAAAAGAGATCAGAACAGAAAATGTAAGCAACACAGCACTTCACCACAAGACAACCTGATATTAACAGTGGCTACCATAATGTCTCTTTCTTTGAATAGTTGAGCATACCTTCACATACAATAGTATCAAACATAACAAAATAGTATAAAACCATTCAAGAGAATGAAAGTATTACAGGGTATTCAGAACCAAATAGCAGAAATTGAACAATGGCTACTATATTTCTCATTTTACATAGAAAATTTATTTATTCTATTACACATATTAAAATCCAATAAGATACAATATGATACAACCAGTGGAAACAGAGGAACAAAAGCATGGCAGAATCTCCAAACAAGATGCCATTAAATCAGCAATGGCTGCCACAATGTCTTGCTTATTCAAAATAGGTGTTCATACCATCACATATAATAAAATCACATATAATAAAATCATTCCAACTAATGAATTAAAACATTATACGGCTTCAAAGCAATGTAATGGGGAATCATGATTACCATAAAATTTTATGTACTCTTACCATTTCTTACACTAGGGAGAGCATATGGTATTTATACATGTGAATTTGATTTATTTTTCTTACGAGTATGATCTCAAGTTGTGTGCATTTATTTATAAATGTCTCAGTGTGATCATTCTTTATAGCTGAGTAGTACTCCATTGTATAAAAATGCCACAACTTTTTTATCCTTTCTTCAGTTGATGGACACTTAGGTTGTTTCCAAGATCTGACTATTACAAATTGTGCTGCTATAAACATGGGTGCACATATATCACTGTGGTATGATGTTTTCAGTTCTTCTGGGAATATGCCTAAAAATGGAATAGCTGGGTCAAATGGAACTTCCAATCCCAGCTTTTTAAGGAATCTCCAGACTGACCTCCACAATGGTTGCACCAGTCTACACTCCCACCAACATTTTTCCTTACAGCCTCTCCAGCATTTGTTGTTGCTGGTTTTCTTGATCCTGGCCATTCTTTCAGGAGTGAAATGGAATCTCAGTGTGGTTTTAATTTGCATTTCTCTAAGGACTAATGATGATGAACATTTTTTCATGTATTTGTTTGCCATTTGTATTTCTTCATCTGACAACTGTGTATTCATGTCGAATGCTCATTTTTGGATTGGGTCTTTGAATTTCAGGGATCTGATTTTTTTTTTAAATTTTTTTAAATGTTTCAGACAGAAGTCCTTTTATCTAAGGGACAGTTCACTAAGATTTTTTCCCAGTTTGTGGGTTTTGTTTTCACTCATCTGGAGATTTCTTTTGACATGCAGAGACTCTTGAATAAGACATGATCCTAGTTATTTAATTCTGTGAAATATTTCCCGTGCAGTTTGATTCCTGCTAAAAATATGGAATGCTCCACGAATTTACGTGTCATCCTTGTGCAGGGGCCATGCTGATCTTCTCTGTATCATTCCAATTTTAGTATGTGTGCTGCCAAAGTGAGCACAAAATTTGTGTTCTTAACGTTATCATATGTACAGTTTGTAAATTTGAGAGATTTTGGAAATTTTTCTTCTTTAAATTATATTTCCAGGGGCTTCAAAAATAATCAGGACCTGAAGCACCATTTTGAATACACTGTATCTTGCATGCCTTTCACTGATGTAATCAAGAAAAAAAATTAAAAGAATATATTTTCCCTCCAGAAAAAACATATGCAAATGAAGATTTTGTTTTACTTTCCTCTTGATTGCTTTTCCTTCTTAAACTATAAAACAGAAATTCAAAATATGGTAATAAGTATTTAAAGAAAAATTTAAGTTTACATAAAAGCAATTGTTTCGTTTAAAATAGTACTGCTCTTTGATTATTTTCTACTTAGGGTGTGGCAATCTGCAGCTGCCATGTTGAGTCTTCATGTGGAAATGAGAAAGATACTAACTTCAAGCATTTTGTTAATTCCTTATGGACATAAAATTATGAAAGTTTGCTGGTCTTTAAGTTTTGGTTTAAATTAGGTGAGGACCTGGCTTTTCTTTTAATATACCTCTAGTTTTACTTGTAAGAAACCAAACTGTTTTGAATAACTTGTGTTCAAAAGAAAATTTTGTAAAGCAAAGCATGAGACTCATACAAAAATTTCAGGGGACTGTATGGAAAGTGAAAATGGGAGGTAGTGTACCCAGGAACATGTACAAGTCACACAACAGGATGGCTTCAATGGATGTGCCACCATGGGTGCACTGTAGGGTCTGGCACTTCTGCTGCTCTGGTGAAAGGAAGTATTGCACATCAGGCAGCCTCTGTGTTCACCACTGGCATCCATTCCAATTGGTCAGTGGTTCATCAGACTGATTATTTAATATTGTTAACATTACTTATGCTTATGCACTGTATATTTTAAAAACAGAGCAATTCTAATTTGTAAAAAGTACGTGGATACATATGTATGTTTGTATGCGCTCAGAAAATATGGTCTCTCTGGGGACTGAGATCAGAATGAGGAAGATGTACAAGTGAGGACTACATTTTTGATTTTGGTATTTCTGTGTTGCTTAAATTTACAATGAGCATGTGGAGGTTTTGCAATAAGCATTCTGCAATAAAGAAGTAGATTATTGTTTTAATTCTTAAGATGTTTAAGGTCACTCTCATACTGATGTATTACAGTTTATGAGTTATTGACTATTTGAGTCAGAAGAGATTTAAGAGTTAAAGTGTACATTCCCTAGCCAACTTCCATGAAGGACAGTCTGCAATTATGTCTCTCAATGCTTCACCTTATCAAACTTAAAATAATTCTGGCCTCATTTCTAATTACAAGTTTCATAAACTTACTTAATCTCATTAATTTTTATTTACTCTGAGTTATTTTCCCCCTTAAATGACCATAAGAAAGCCAGAAGTGTGGGATGGTGTAAGCCTACTTCAGTTGAGGCCTGGATGGAAAGTGCTACCTCATCTAATTTGCCCACCTGGACTGGTTCCTTCTATTTCTTGTATTATGAAATCACAAGAGCTTCTCATGAAAAGATCACCATGACCTTGCAATTGGAAGCTTAATGGAACTTTTCCACTTCTCAACTTATGGGAAGGCTTAGCTGCAAATAATTAAATTTGCCATCTCCTCTCTCTTGTGTTTTATAATGTCATTCCCTCTTGTCCCTTTTCCCTCTCCAGCTGTTTCCTTTAACAGATTCTTTTCATATAATCCTTAAAAGACGACCCTCCTATTTTTCACCACATTGGTGAAGCCACGGTTTCACCCATTCCCACAGGCTTGGAAAAGCCTTTGCTCATCTGTTGATCTCTCATCTCAGTCTGTACTGACCTCTTTCTTTGGCTGTTCATCATTTCTCTCTTGAATAGTTACAGCTATGTCCTGACAGCTGGCTCAGGTTGTGACCACGTACATTTTTATTTTATTTTTGCTGTTTCCAGAGCAAGTACAGAGAAATACATAAAATACTGTGGAAATAGAAACAGCAACAGGCTTGAAGCTCAAGAATTAGGAACTGGAAGTTAATCTGCGTTTAACCTGGCACTGTAGTCCAGAAGCCAGAGTTTGTAGTTTTTCAGATCTTCATCCTAATGTAACTTATCATAAATGTAACTTAGGTATACTCCTAACCCAGACACACAAAATTTTTGACTTTTTATCAAGAAAAAACATGACTATTTAAACTCATATCTTGTTTTTCTTTCCTGACTTTGACTGAGTTAATCATACTCAGCCATAACATATTATGCTTTTTCAGGGCCACATTATTTCTTAAATCTTATTTCATTTCATTTTTTCACCCTTCATTTCCAAAAAAGCACTGACTTCAACATGTGAAATATTTGTCTTTGGATGGTATGAGATTTTTAAAAATGTACAGTGTTTTTTTAGGTCTACACTGAAGATCTCTATAAATGATGTTATAACTGTATTTTTTTCACTTGACACTGATTTTAAATCTCATATTTCTGTCTTTGGTTCTGCCTGCTGCAGGCTCTTTCAGTGTGTGCATGGGTCATATTTCACTTATCCATTTTCTCCATGAGAGACATCTGGGTTGTTTCCAACTCTCCATTTCTAAAATAATGTTCCAGCAGATAACTTTCTCCATTTATGGATCAGTGACATTAATATTTTGTATTAGATACATGCAGATAAGATTGTTGGACACATGCATAAGTAATTTTACTGAATATTGATAATTTACTTCCTAGAATGACTTACGAATTTACATTTCTACCTGTAGTGCTTAAGGGCTCTCCTTTTTCTGCATCTTCATTGATTCTTATAATACTGTTTTCTTATAACACTTATAGCATAGATTATCTTTAAATCTGTTCAATCAGATCTAAGATTAACCATTCTTGGATTAAGTGTCTCAACTTGGCCCACTCATTAGCTAAGGGAGGATGGTGTTATATGGAAGATAATGTTTCCCATTTGCTTTCAGCAAATGTTTTTCTTAGTAGGATTTGTGAATGAAATAAGAAAGTACCCTTTTTAATTCTCCTTGTAAGTCTCCTTCATGATTATTTTTGCTAGAGTGATCATACCAAATGTTAATTCGTTGTGCTTGACCATGTTGAAAGACTTTATCCATAGACTGAAGGTTATGACGAAGGATAATATCTCATGCCAGATTCCTTAGTATACTCACCATCTGGCATCTAATTTTATCTACACTGAACACCTATAGTTTTCCTATCAGGATGTTTTATACCTACGTGTTTCCTCTCTGGCTGCTTTGTATTCCTAGAAAGTCCTTTGACATCTCCCCTACTAACTGTTCTACAATAATTCTACTGAAAAATCTTATTTGACCAAAGCTTTGACCTTGCCTCTACAGCTTTAAAAATTATACTCACTCCAATTGATGTGCCCCTGAGGCTTTCCTGGTTCTCACAGACCTCAGTGACAGCATCTACCCTTTCCTGCATTTGATTACACTTTTGTCATCTTCCATATGACAGCCTGCTCTTTGAGAAAAAGAAAGTATTTGGAATTTTATTCCCAGAGCCTAGCACAGCATCTCAATCTAATGAGTGCCTACCAAAAAATTTTTAAAAAAATAAGTGAGTTTAATGGGCTAGGTATTTTACAGAGTAATAAACTAGGTCTCTAGAGAGATCAGTCAAACTTTTCTACCACCATTCTGGTAGCCAAATGATGGAAGACAAACCAGGTCTTTTGCTTTCTACTACTTTCCAGTGTACTATGAAGAGTCTCTTTCATTTATCCTTCTCTTCTGAAAAAAATGCTAGGGCTGTTAGAAGGAGAACTTTGAATAGCATTTTGGATTATAAATTATATAAAGGAATTCATGAGGCATCATCAAACTAAGAATCAATACCTCTTAAAATCAAATATTATATATGCTAATTTCCAAAAACCTGACAGCAATGAATAAATATTTTTCCTTTTTTATTTCCTTCTTTCTTACCATTTCTGGACTATTTATCAGAGATATAGCAATCAAAGTCATAATTTCTGTCAAGAAACTTTGCAGAGGAGCTCACAATACCAAATGTACTATTATGAAAGTGTGTCCTTTTCAGTTTCAACAGGCCTTGAAGTGTTTTGCAGAAATTCTCCACCCACTTCAGTTCTCTCCTTGACCTTAACAGAGTATCAGAGTCTGCACTACAGCTCAGAAAAAGAGAAATCTGTTGGTCCTTCTTTATTTTTCCATTGCAAGAGTCATTCAAGTGGAGCTGACGAAGCATGTAGTGATTAAGGCCAGACATTTCTCCTGCTGCTTTCTAAACAGGACAGAGGGTGTCGTGGTAAGGGTGGAAGTACAGGAGATGCCTTCTCCATTTACACAGGTTTGCAGAAGGACCAATACTCTCTTGGACCTGAAAATGTAGTTCATTATTTTTGCAATCTGAACTATGAGAAAGGATGACTATTATATACAAAAACCGGGAAAACTCACATGCACAGAGGCCATAGACCCAGTTGTGCAAATCCTTCACTATAACTGGAGACTTCTGATTTTCGGCTTGCTTCCTATCACAGAGAAAACAATTTCTCAGTTGATCAAGAGCCACACACTGACCAATAGCATTAATTTTCATAATGATCAGAGAATTGTAATTTTGTTTACATGAGAAGCAAACTAGGAATTTAGTTATATCATTCATGTGTGTCATTGCTCTTTCTTTTTTTATTTTGAAGGTAGTGAAATACAAAAGAACAAGGCAGAACATAGCCAACTGAGATAGGGCAGTGAAACTGATACAAAGCGTCACAACAGGTTACCAGGTTAACAGTATTAAGTGCCACAGTATATCTCGTTATCTTTGCAATAGTTGTTCTTTCAATAGCAAAATCAAATCAAATGCAGAATATTATAGAACTTATCAAAATAGAATATTGAATAGAGCAATACAATTAATCAGAACAGAGCAAAACAGTGATAACAATATTTGCCTTCAAAGAATGGTAGAAGGAGCCCCCCCCCCCCATTTGCTATATTGTATATGGTCAACCTCCCAAGAGATGCT